TATATATATATATATTATTTACAGCAATACAGCAACTTAGATTTTATCTCCCATAACAATGTATGTTTATTTGTATGTTTATAATATATATAATAATCTATGATAATATATAATAACAGTGCGATGTGAAAAAATATCCACGATGCCCGGCACTCGAACACTGTGGGAACTTCTGCTGTTGTGAACACTTGAACCAGACGCCGAAGAGGTGTTCTAGCTAGAATCTGTCGAAGGAAATGAAAAAAAAAATTGCAATACCGTTACAGGGCAGCTTTAGAGGGGCATACAGTCCGTCTATGTTTTTATTTTAAAAAAAAATTGTAAAGGTTTTTTTAAGAAAATGACCATGCTATAAAAATCAATCAAATACAAACTCATATCAATAAAGGTGCTGATGTTTAAGCGGATTTGCTATTTGCACCCCACCAGGGGCTTTTCTCTACAACTTTTTATAAAACATTTCGGACATTTACGCCCCCTCTTTCTTACCGTGCTGTGCTGGATCTGCCCCCATTATTTTTTTTCCAGATGGGGCCAATTACACATAACTACAGCAGTTTCACTATGTTTGGAGCTGAGTTGAAAAAAAAAGTAAAGAGTGTGGCAACTCGAACATGACATTCAAGATTTTATTTAAGAAGGTTTTTTTCAAAGTATCTTAATTTGACAATAAGAATACCAGGAGAGTATACACCCACCTCAGCCCCACCAGAGTCACGGCTGAGGCATAAAAAATCAGGATGTAGGCCTAGGCATAGTAACTCGAAATTTCTGGGAATAGCATCCTCAGAATATTTATTTTAGTGTCTTTAAAATGTCGTTCAATTTAGATTAATTGTACGTTTTTGTGCTTGTGAGGAAATGTGCGGAATGTGTAGGGTGAACAGCCCCCATCATGGTTGGGGTGTGAGTGCCGAGTACCAGGAAGGTGTTCAGCCTCTCCAGCCCATCCGGCCCAACAGAATTGAATGAAAATGTGTTTCTCATTTCCGCACGCCCCAGGCCGGGATGGTATAATGTACTGGTACGATTCCGGAATTATCTTGTTCAGATTTTGAGTATTTAGAATGGTTTATTGTCCATGTACAAAACATATTGACAAAAAATCTAGTACTCTACCTGGATACAATATGATATTCATGAAATAAATTAAAACATCCCAGAAATACATTGAGAGCAGTAATTGGCATATACTATCCCTCTCCAGACACATATTCCTGTTACAGTAAATCTGAGTTTAGGTTTCTGAGTCAGGATAATGGTCATTCATGAAAGACATGTACTTATATATTATCTATGTTGTAATAAGTCTATTAATATAGAAAAAATAGATAGTTGTTGTTCATTTTTACATAATCAATATATTACTACTTTGATTTTTAAAGCGGGGTGAAAAACTGCACAGGGGGCCTGATTTGCCCCTGTCCCTCTCAATGAGCCAGTTTGTGTCATAGCTTTTTTATTACCACCCTCAATTGGGATATAATTTTTGCCAATAAATTGTGAGTTTTAAATGTTACTGGTGGTATATATGTGTATAATAATCATTAAAAATGCTCTGTGGGTATTGCTGTCGAAATGTTGAAAAAAACCCAAAAAACCCGAATTATATTGACTATTTTGTTTCATTTTAATGGTGTGTATCTATTAGCTTAGAAAATGGTTTCAAATTCCCCCTCCAACCACCCTAATAAAAAAATCTAGCTACGGGACGTTGGGTTATAAAGGCCATTGGGTTGATCCTTACACCAAAGAACATAAATATTTATTATCTTTGCTTACACTCTCAGTAAGTATCAAGTAAATATAGTTTGCACCCTTGGCGTTTCATCTAAATTCGAATTGGTGGCGTTTTCGTCGAGTCGGGAGTCGCGCGCTTGGTTTGTTTTTCTGCCTGAGTCCGAAAAAAAAAAATCGCAGGCTAGGTGATGTATTGCTACATTAAATCTGATCTACCATTCTCGGGCATATCCGAGTACTAGGCCTGGGTGGAGTAGGGAAGGAGCTAGGGCCGAACTGCCTAGGCCTAGACCCACCACTACTAATTTGGTCTAGGCCTAGGCTAGCTGGGCTGGTGTCTACTTTCCCTAGCCTAGCTAGGTTAGGCTAGCCCTAGGCCTAGTTATCTCCCTACCAATAAACCAAGCTTAACCGGCCTAGGCCGAGACACGAAGTCTAGCCTAGCCTAGTAGTATTATATAGGCCCAAGGCTAGGCTGCCTATAGGTGGCATAGTTCCATTAAAATCAAGAAAATTAGGAAAATTAAGTGGATTGGAAGATTGAATGATTGGTAGGGGGCTAGGCGGCTGGGGCCTGATAAAGGTAAAGCCTTTCTTAATAATGTTGAACGTAGAAATCTGAAGTCTTCTGCTGGGAAGCTAGTCGCCCTTCATGCACAAGAAAATAATTTGCCTATCAAAATATTACGTTATTTTGATCGGCAATCTCTAATAATTGTGGTCTAAAAGCATAATTTGGACTACCCTACTGTACCAGGGCTTTTTTATTCGAGACTCGGACCGATGCTCCAGTCGGCTGCTTGGCCTGGACCCCCTTGCCGGACAAGTTGAACCCTTTGTCGGTGAATTTCTGGAGCCATCTCTGATCCTGATGCTTTATGGGGTTTGCCACTCTCAGTGGCGAGGCAGGTGGTGGGGGTCACAGCAGCCTGTTTTACCTTCAGCATGTACCAGTATAATCCTGGGTGGATAGAGACAAACATAGTCTCTGTTCTAAGGACACAAGCGACTCAATGTTTGGAGTCCGAGCTACAACTGTGTGCTAACTGCTTCTCTACCTGCTTCATGAATGATTGAATAAATAGCAATATTATTATTAATTTTTTTGAACATTTTTTTCTGACATTTAATTCAACCTTTCAGGCCTACTGTCTACTGGAAATTAAAGAAGACGGTTCAAAATGTCAAACTGGCAAAACTTTTTTCCTCGCAATGATGACGAAGATGAAGATGATCAGACTGAATTCGACCAGACTTTTGCAACTAAGGATGGTGTCATTTTTCTGATTGACACCAATCAAACTATGTTTCAAAAATCTGATGACGATGGGAGTCATTTTGATCTATGTGTCAAGGTTAGGATAATTGTAATTACTCTCACTAAAGCCGGCTACTCACTGAGTGCGACGGCGACGCGACGGCAACGCAACGAAGAACGCATGTGAAGACGTGGACCCGTTGAGATTGCCACTGACAATAAGCAGACGGCGTTGCGTCATCTATCGCTTGCCGGAACCATATGTGGATTCGTTGTGCGACGACCGTACGACCGTCGTATGACGTAGTGAGTGTCCGGCTTAAAGATTAGACTTATTATATTTATATTTGCATCATATTTGTTTTAAATATTTTATACTGTTCTGTAGCTTTACACTGTAGCTTTACATAGTGTAAATTTCATAATGTTCTGTTAATTTAATATATGATACGATACGATACAATACTCCTTTATTGTCATTTTAACAACATGGTAAAAATAAAATTAGTGTTGATTGATAAGTAAGTAATTGAAATTCAAAAATATTAAAAGAATGAATAAATAGAAAAATTTTAAAAATACATTCCATGAGAGAATCTTGGGTGGTTGAGGATAATTTAAACAAATTTAAATAAACGTCATGAAAATGATACATTTCAACATAAAAGAAAAAATATATAAATCCTAGTTTGTGCTGTGAGATGTACATTTCATGTTAGTTCATGTATAGGACCTCTATGGAAATATTGGTCTTATCAGGTAGTTTTCACTGCCTTCATGTTAACGGATAACGTCATAATAAATTCATCTTGAGTTTCGGAGTACGTAAATTTCAGGAATTTACGTGCTCGACGTACGTTAGTTACGGTTTGCGCATGTGTATTTCGATTTTTTTTAACACTGTTGTACCTATTTAGATTTTGAAGTAAGCTTTCATAATATGCTAATACTACTGCTTAAAAATAATATAGTTTGCTCAATTCTGATTAAACAGTGCGCTCGCAGTGTTATGGGAAACAAGATAATAAGCAGTGATAAGGACTTGGTAGGAGTTGTCTTCTTTGGCACCGACAAAAACAAGAACAAGAATGATTTCCGGCACATTTACGTTTTGCAGGTGTGTATTCTTTTTGTAATAAAATATATAAAAAATGTACCTCTATGTCAACTGTATAATCATGTTCTTATTTTAAATCTATCGTATTTTCTCACGTATAAGACTAGGCTTAAAATAGCAAATTACAATTGAAAAGCAGGGGTGTCGTCTCATGTGCAACGCATACAATTTTTTTTAATTTTTTATTTTTAACTTATGTTCGTCGTATGTGCGGATCATCTGTAACATACAAATTTAGAACTGCAATTAAGCTACAATCTGTTAGTATGAATTGAACGCAATTAATGCGGGGAAATACAATTTTGATGAACATTTAAAAGGACATAAAATGGTATTACTTGAAAGATTGGCCCTACATTTGGCGCCGTTTTTACCTAGGTAGATGCAGCATCAAGACCATAAAATGCAGAAAAAAGTAGGAATTCCGACGATGAAATGGGTGGCAGGGGGTCATCTAATATGCCTGACATACAAAAATCATCAAAAAAATTTATCAAACTCAGGGGTTGTATTATATGCCATAGAAATCCTCTGATTACAAGCCTGGCTTTAACCATACCTTTTAATTGCAATTGTTAATGATTTGTCTAACGTTTCATCTACCATCAATCCATTCTAGGACCTTGAACAGCCAAGTGCAGGAAAGATTTTGGAACTGGAATCACACTTAGAAAGCAAGTACATTGTTTTCAGTATTCACTTATTTATATTGAAGAAACTGGTTGAGTAATTTTTTTGTAGTGTAATAATCAGCCTGTGTAAATCTCTTCTAGGTAAAACATTTTGTGCTTTTTGAAATTTGCACATCATAAATGTTCTACTAAGTCTGCTGCTGCTGCTATTTGAATATTTTATCACTAAAGTGTGTTCACCGTGTTTACCTTTTACTTAGTTTTGCATATTATTTTGTTGTTAATGTTAATTATGATTTATAAAGTACTGTATAATATATCAATTTCAGTTGAAATATTTTTACTAAATTACTAGTAATTTTTTTTTCACAAATAATAAATGGTAATTTCTCTAGACTGTTAAGACACCTAAACATGGGGCGGATTGCTATAAAACGATCTTAACTGGTAGTCTTAACTCCTCGAATAAAGCCGGCTTTATCACTTAGACGGTCTTATTAAAGTCATTCCTCTAAGACCATTGCTATAAAACAGTCTTCCCTAAGACCGCTTTGAGTATTGAAACGCAAACCAGCACTCTCTGGTAACGTAAGATTGAGGGCGACATCATGCGTGCTCGACGCACGCAAATGTATCAAAATGAACGTAAATAAACGCCGTAGACCTATTTTTACAGACGCTGAGAATTGTGCAGAGTATTCGTCGTTCGATTCTCCGACTTTGATGACTAGACCTAGGTCTTGCCATTGCACTGTTAGATTAATCAGCAGAACGCCATGATGAAAATGATTTAAGACCATTTTAAGCCTCCTCCGAGTAGGCTTTAAAATTTAAGTCGGCTAACTGGTTAGACTGCGGTATAGCAATGGTCTATGGTCAGTAGTGACGTCACGATTATAGCCGGCTAACCGTTAAGACCATCTAAAGACCGCTTATAGCAATCCGCCCATGGAGTGTGTTGACGAAAAATACAGGACTATAAAGCACATTAATATAATATTGGTATTTACTTTCAGATAATAATAATGATTTTAAGGCAAAATATGGCCACAGCTCATCGTTCTCTCTCAGCGATGCTCTGTGGTGTTGTTCAAATATGTTTTCACAATGGTAAGAATGTAATGTCTAACAGACAATACTTTTGTAAGTTGCTAGCAATTATAATTTATTTGTTGCTCATGAGGTATCATTAATTGTTGTGTAGAAATAGGAGTCCTACATTAATATTGCCTTACTGTAAATAAATATGGTGTATGTTTTAGACCTTCACCATGTTTCTTTTATTAACTTCACCAAGGAGGTTTATGTATTCAATGCTGTCTGTCTGATGGCTGTCTGTCTGTCTGATGTCTGTCTGTCTGTTTGTCTGTCTGTTAGCAAGATTACAAACAAACTATGAATGGATTGTCATAAAATTTAGTGGAATAGTACATAATAGTCAAAGAAACACACCTTCAAATTTTTGGAATGAAATGACAAGTTCAAGGTCATTTAAATTCATTTTTTTACCCTCGAGCATAAAAAGAAAATAATGGAATTTGCCTCTCGTATTCAGGTAGCATTGCAGATAACAATGTGCCTGAATACGGTGGGTGATTTCATTATTTTCTGGAGGGTAGGCTGCAGCAATCAAGAAAATAATTTGCCTGAATACAACGGATGATTCAATTATTTCATTGAAGGTAATTGAGAAATTTGTATTATGTTATTTTTAGTTTTATTGTTATTATACTTATTAATTAATAATTAGTTGTTATTAATATTATTAAAGTTATCATTTTCATCATTACAATTTGTATCAAATATTAATGATGTTCTTGCTAATTTTTATTGTTTTTATTGTTATAAGTGATATTGTTAATGATAATAATGATTTTGAGGCAAAATTGTTGTTATTAGTGTTGTTATTAGGTAAATCATAATAAGTCATAATGATCGTAACCAAATTAATTTGTTGATTCTATATTTAATTTACAGTTCACAAAAACTGGGGCACAAGCGTATATTATTGTTCACTAATAATGACAGTCCACATGCAGATAATATAGCACTTCAAAGACAAGCGAAGGCAAAAGCAAGTGACTTGAATTCCAATGGCATTGATATTGAGTTGTTACACTTGCGTCTGCCTGGCCACAACTTTGATGTTTCCAGATTTTACCAGGTAATACCACCCACAACGTAAATGGTGTACTCTGAATTAATAAACTTGATTGACACAATTTAATTATATTATATATGATTGATTTGTATACATTCACATTCTGTTCAACAAAATGTAAAAGTACTATATCCCCTGCAAACTTAATCACTTTACTAAGTGACAATCCTTTACAAGACAAACATACATTGAAGGAATATGCTTTACATATAAAACTAAACCTCATTATTAGTCTTAGGGAGTGGAGTTGTTTTTGGTCGTGAAAAAAACAAATCTTTTTGCTGTGACAGGAATTGAACCCAGGACCCTGTGATTAGAATGCAAGCATTTTAACTGCCAAGCTATTGAACTCCATTCCATAACGTACTCTAGGTGTACTGAAATAATTTTATTTTTTTCTTTATGCACATAGGATATTATATTTGCTCCAGATGATGAGGAATTGAGTGTCATGCCAGATGCCTCGGATAAATTTGATGAGCTGTTGACACGTGTTCGGACCAAAGATCATAAGAAACGCTCTCAAGGAAAATTGAACTTCTCTCTCGGCAGTGATTTTGATCTAGCTGTAAATGTGTAAGATAACATCTTGTGACTTGTAGCTATTAAGAACACAAATTTACAAACATTGACGTATCTAGTGGGTAAGCTGGAGGTGCACATCCCCAAAAACACTCCTGTCCACAACGGCCCCTGTCCCACCCCCATTGAAAATGTGAAAGCAAACAAAAACTGCACTAAAGTAGTTAGAAATCACTTAAAATTACCTTATTTGTGCCCTTGTCTAACCATAGACCCACCACTTCACGTTCCCATCCCCCAATTTCAAACTCGTAAATAAGCTGTCAACAATTAACAAAACAAAGTTTGCACTGTTTGTACTCAAATTCAAACTGAGAGATAATACTGTATTTATATAGTATATTAACTTAATATAACTTTAATTTGACCATCCACTAATGCACTCATTGAAGTACACTGTATGAGCATACGCTTGCGTGTAAGTAAAGGTCCTTTGTATCTGGACATAGTAACAGCATTTATTTTCGGTAGAAAATGTGACAAAGACGAGCTAAACCAGTCACTCCACGCAAATCGTGTTTTGTAGATGATGGCCAGAACATGTTGGGATATCAAAATTGTTATTGCACTTAACTAACCCTTATAAATCATTTCATGTTGTTTAACTTTTCCCCGTTTTTGATTGTAAAACAACAAAAAGTACTGTTCTTCAAACAGCTGAATGTTTAAACTCCTTTAACTTCATAAAACAAAATGTAGGATTTAAGTGATTCTTTTACCAAAAAAACTTTTTTTTTTTGTGAGGAGCGACAGATTTGGCTTGTCTTTGCCACAAATATAGAACTTCTTTACATTGTTTGTACATATAGTCAGGCCATGTTCTTTTGTCTGTTATACAACTTCAAGTGAAAATCAGGCTTATGGAAAGTGTAGCAAAGAAAATATCGGCTGTCGCAGGAGTTGAACCAGTGACATTCAGAGGACTGTACCGAAGATCTGCCTATTGAACCAACAAAAAGTTGCAATGTGTTTGTCCTCAATGAATTACCTCCTTTTACTTTTATTATACAACTTTCTAATTTTAGATGTTTCTTCTCTTTCAGATACACTTTAACAAGCAAGACAAGTAAGCCATATTCTGTAAATCTTTACAAGAGGACAAATGAAGAAGTACGGAAAAAAAGCACCTATTTCTGTGAGGTGTGTAGACGGTTTTTACACTCAAAATAATTTTTCTCTTGAACTGGTATTAGCTTGCATGTAGACCTATTAATCATGAAACCTACATACATGTAAAACTTGCAATGTGTGAGGCCTTAAATTGTGTAATTGTTGACGGACTGTTAATTATTAAATGTTTATAGAGTACCACAGCTGTGTCGTCATGACACCAGGTGGCGCTCTCTGTTGTCAACAGACATTGGTTACCGTTCATTACGCCTGAATTACTTCATAGGCTTTCTGGAATAGGCATTTTAGAATCTAATATTTTACCGTCAAAATGCACTAAAAACACAAAAACTTGTATTTTATTAGTTATCGAACACACATTTAATCATCAATTAAAATTTACAAAGAAAAAGTGAGATGCAACATCTTAATAATTGCGTTAGAAATTGGGATCAATGGTTTGTCAGTGGAGAAAATGGCGTCCGGTTGAACGCTTTTTGCAACAATAGCAACGGAGTAGTATCACATGGTATCGTGACGTAACACTGTAGTACTCTATTGGTTTTTTAACTGAAAGCCTAAAACTGGATGCTTGTAATCTTAGACATAGGATTCAAAAAGTCGTTCAGCTCTGAAGAACAGGTACTCTGATGAGCACAGAAATGTGGAACTGGGATGTTTCCCGTTTATGGACTGTTTCTTAATGCATGAAAAATAAGTCAACTACAATGCCAAGAAATGAAGCCATTCATAGACTCATTCAATTATGAATTGTCTGTGGAATTCTCTTCCTCAAGACTTGAATATGTCCCAATCTGTTGACATTTTCAAGAAGGCGAAATTAGATTTTGCTGTTTGAGTGCCTTTGAACATTTTTGATGGATTGTGGCACTATATAAGTTCCATGATTGATCATCAGGGGCCCGCAACGTACAGCTATAATATCGGCGCTGGTTCAAAGGCACACTCACCTATGGTTATACTATAAACTGTATGCCCAGTGTACATAATTTGGCTTGTGCACTTTAAAGAATGCAGTACATCTTTTGAGGTGAGTAGAGGGTTACTCCGGTGTACTGGTCCATTCAGCCCCTGCTGTGGACAGACGAGAGTAGCTGGCAGGGGCGGATCCAGAAATGTCCAAAAGGGGGGGCCGCAAGTTGGGCCGATTGAGACAACGGTGTCGTAGGGGGTCCGGGGCATCCCCCCGCGATTTTTTTGTGTTCTAGACGCCCGAACATAACATTTGAGGCATTCTGGGCTATCATTTTTTTCTTTTTCTCTCTTTTTTTTCATTTTTTTTCCCTTTTTTACCTCCCAAAAGGGGGGGGGGGCCGGGCCCCGGGCCGGCCCCCCCCCCCTAAATCTGCCCCTGGCTGGGAGCTTAGACATAAAGAGACCCTCAGGAAAGAATAAAGTTACTGTATGAGCTAGTCCACACCTCGAGTGCTTCAAGACTCCTGTATAAAGCGCTATATAAATCGAAACACATTATATTACATTACTGCTAGTTAATACATAAAAAGGCTCAAGCTGTGCAGCATACAGTTGGAAGACTGTAAATTAGGGTTGCAAACATTAATTTGATTAACTTTTTATTTAATTCCAAAGGAAACTGGTGAACAACTTATGCCAAGTGATATTAAAAAGTTCCAAACTTTTGGAGGAAGGAAAATTGCCTTTGAAAAAGATGAATTAAAGGAGATGAAGAAATTTGGTGACCCTGGTAAGATAATTAAATATGTATTCTGAATTATGTAATATTATGTGTCCTTTATATTTTGTGTTTGTTTTTTTAGTGATTAAGATATAAATTTAAAGTGTAATCTGCTGTCTGAGCCCACCTTAAAAAAAAAAAAAAAGCGGTTAATGAGATACATATTTTTAAATATTTAAAAACGGAGGAAAAGGTGCCTAACCACCCTTTTTTTTTTTACCTTTTCCCATTTAAATAATGCGTGTAAAGTTTAAGATGCCCGCGTGAGTTGCTTTTTTATACTGTATACGTAGAAGAGTGACGCCAGCATGGCTAGGCCTAGCCTAGCATTGTATGCTTGGCTTCTATACCCACGATTACAGTTTCTGCCATCCTGGAAATCAAGTAAATCAAGTAAGTAAATCAAGTAGCTAGGGCCTGGGCTAGATCGTGTATGTTCTTGATCATCGCGATGAATACTTCGGGTGACAGACGATTGGGCCCAAATGGTTTGGTCGATCGGGCCCCAGCCATTTTTGAATATATTGCAGTCTTAGTAGGCCACTGCCAGCTCCCGCACCCCCGATATCGTTCCAAACTGCTGTAAAATGAAAACACTGTATACCTAGCCCTATGAAATTATTTCAAGTTTTGTGTTATTTCTACAAAATTTGTAAGTACCTTGTTGGTGTGCTAAAAATATTACTGTAATTTACCTGTCAAATAACATTACCAATGTGGTCTATAAAATCACTTTTTTTTTGGCCATAAAAACTCTTTTCCCCTGAATTATTCAAGTTAAACCACCCAACAAATTTGACCCAACCTTATATTTTCTGATAAAGTCAGGTATCATGCATGAACATTGGTTTTGATCAAGCTTTTTGTGTATTAGAAAAATTAGTTGTATAAACATACAAAAAAGAATGTTTTCCTCTGGAAACTGGCTTTAAGTCCTGTACTGACTATCAAATTTTATTTGACAAAAACATGTGTCATGCCTAAATATGGCCATGATGACATCACATCATGACCATATATGAGGCATGTTCTGGCGAAATGGTTAAGTTGTCGCACAGTCAAGTATTGAGTGTATAAGCTATAAAATATCATGGGAGCTCAAAAAATTTCCTATAAATCCAAATTTGTTTTTCACTATAGATCAACAGTTTAATGTCTTATTAATCATGTCCCAAAGTATTACAGTAGTTTTGGAAGTGGTCAACAAATTGTTTATTTAACGTTATTTTGATAGTTCATTCTATTAAACAATGTATGCACAAATTACTTTGAAAGGCAATTACTCAAAATCATGTTTATCTTGACTCTAAGAGTGCTGTACTTTCACTTTTCAATAACTTAGGCTTAAAATGTCCAATGTGAATGAATGACCACTCATTTTAAAGATCACATACTCAGGTATCTGAAAATACCAATAACTTGAATATCAATTTTTGCTACAACTTAGCCATTTTGCCACAACATGCCTCATATATGCACGTGACTATATATTGGCATTCAAAAATTAAATTTTTATGTTAGGCTCCATCCAGGTATAAACCCACCTCCAAACTTCAGATAAAGTGAAATGGAAATCATACATTATGTATGCCTCAGGTAACAGACTATAACCAGGGCCTATAACGGTAAAATAACAAAGTACGAAATAGGTTTTTCATTCAATTTACTATCAATATAAAAGTGTAGTTGTAAAGCTTGGTTGTTAGGATGCTTGCCTTCTAACCCCAGTGTCCTGGGTTTAATTTCTGTAACAGTGGGTCTTTTTCTCACAACTAAAAACTTCTCCACTTCCTAAGCTTCGTAAAGAGACTTGGTTTATAAAGCATCATCTTGTAATTGGCAAGTTAGTTTGCTGTTGGAGCGAGTTAAAATAAAATTTTAAATCCTAATTAGTAGTACTGTAATAATATACAAAAAAACTTGCTTTTCAAAGAAGATGATAATGATAGTGGTTAAACATTAAAATTTCATCTTATAAATCTAAAATCTAATAATCTTTCAAATTATAAAAAAGCTGCATAATTGTGTATGTATACCAATAAAATTTATATAACATTCATATTGTCTTTGTATCACCTAAAATTTTTTTATAAAAAAATTTAATGGTTTTTCTAGTCAAACGTCTTTAAATCATCGATTTTTTATATGTAACTTGTTGAATGTTCATTACTTCTTAAGAAGTGAGAAATTTAAAATTGTATTTTACATTTATTTAATTTAATTTCTGAGTTGTAGTATATATTAATTAGTGTTTTCTTATTATTATTAATATTATTTCTTGCAGGTTTGGTGTTGCTTGGTTTCAAGCCTAAATCATATGTTAAGAATCATTTCCATTTTAAGAGCTCCCAGTTCTTGTTTCCTGATGAAAGCAGAATCAAAGGCAGTACAACAGCCTTTTCGGCTCTGTTACAAAAGTGCATTGACCGGGATGTTGTACCAATATGTCAGTACATTTCACGACAAAATACACCACCTCGATGTGTTGCACTTGTAGGACAGGTATGTTCATACAAGGTATATGTAAGACTAAGGTTTAAGTAATTTACATAAAGATGGTGTTTATATGTTAAGCTAATTAAAGATTAACAAATTGCTTAATAGTTTTCAGGAGTCTGTACCAACATGTAGTCAAATATCCCAACTCTGTGTGTGTTCTTGAAATTATATAATATGGATTGAAACAGGAAATTATAACGAGCCATGTGGACTCTACAGCACTTTTATATCTTCAAAACATTTTTGACCAGTCCTGGTCTTTCTCAGCTTATAGAACATAATGACATGTAATTTTGATATAGCACCTATAATAATTGCTTATTATGTTATGATATTTGTGAGGTGTCGTGACAAGTGACAAATGGATAGAAAAGCCCAAAAAAATAATCAGTTTATCTTTAGACACAATTTTTTCTAGTACATTTTCATAATCTCCGGTTGTACTCAACCTAGAAACCTGATTCAAAGAACGAAATAAGACTTAAATAATCATCTATCTAAGTATATCAATAACTCATTTTTCATTTTTGTACAGCAATACCTATTTTATCACGACAGGTCACATTTTTGTTCTATATTCTGTTTATTGTCTTTGTTGTAAATCTTCTATTTTAGAAAGAGGAATTGGATGACCAAAATATGCAAGTACAGCCCTCTGGATTTCATCTCATTTTCCTCCCTTACTCTGATGATATGAGAAAACTCAATCTTCAAAAAATGCCAAAAGGTAGTATATAACAGTCTGTGAGCCACAAAAAAATAGCATTAATAACTATATGTGAGGTCTCACCACGAAATGAGACGCATCGTTGGTGAAATCATATTGAGATATTCACCAAAACAGGACAAAATTTACAAAATTTTGATTTTAATGTTTTTGAATAACTTGATACTTATATTTTAAGATTGTATAATTTGTAAGTGAATTTTCTTGCCAAAACAGTGTTCTCTGCACATATTCTGAAATTCTAGTCATATTATTTGTGCAGGGTTAATTTATCTTTGAGGCCGATTTTCTCAAAACGTATTTCTTATACATCTAAACTTTAAATGCTCACATCTCTGGATTTACTTATAGTAGGGAAGCCATTCAAAGACCAAATGAAAGCTTATAAGTGTGATCCACCCAAATATAATATCAACTCAATTATTGAATTTCTAACCATGAGACTCATTTGTGGCGGGAGCTCACATATTCCTTGCATTATAGAAATATTTAAGCTAGTATTAACAAACATTGTTTTAAGTAGTAGTGCCAGTGAGGGTTCCGGAATTGGGAGCAGGTCATCTGTCTGGACAAATCAAATCCTGCCGCCACCACTAATACTTTTTCACGTTTTTGTGTTTCACTGTTATTTTTTAGTCATGCTGGTTACTATTAAATAATTAATAAAAACACTTTGGTCTGTCTTTTATTTGTATAATAAATAAAGGAATTGTGATTCCATCTTAGACAACATTAATTATTCAAGAAAGATGAAATACTGTACAGTACTATATATTTACTATTTTGGTGTAATTAACCACACATATCAAACAAAATCATTAACGCAAGTTTCAAATATTAATTTAAATCAGATTTATGAAATCTGTGATCATGTAGTAACACCATTACTGTTATTTTCTTCTCAGCAACTCCAGAACAAGTAGACAAAGCAAAGGAAATAATTAAAAAACTTCAATTCAAGTATAATCCCAGCTCGTTTGAAAACCCAGCTTTACAGACATTCTGGCGCAATCTGGAGGTCCTTGCATTAGATAAGGATATGCCAGAAGAGTTCACTGATTTTACAGGTAATTTAATTATTAAGATCTGTCCAGATTATCAGATATTCTATGACAAAAACATGTATGCCCATATATAGTCATGATGTGATGTCATCATGACCAAATTAAGGCACATTTTAGGCACATGTTTTTGTCAAACAAAATTTGATGGTCTGGAAAGAATATCTGTATCAATGTAAACATATGCTTGTTAACATTTTTTATGATTATGTTTGAATGCATTACTTAATGAAGTTTTAAAATATAAATGATGATTTATGTTGTCTGTTTTAAAGCCCCAGATGTAGACAGAATCAATTCAAGAGCCGGGAAATTGATCAACGAATTTAAAGAGATGGTTTACCCTGATGGATACACACCAGGACAAAAAGCAGCTCCCAAACGAAAGGTATTTTTATGGTTTATGAATTTCTTTTAGGATAAATATATTTAAAAAAGAAAATCTACCACGTTCTGAGCATTCTGCATTAGACTTGGACATTATCCAAGGCCTTTCGATCTCCCAAGCTAGCCACACATTTTGCAGCTGAAATATCTGTATTGTCTGAGCACTTTATGATGCAACACTGTATGCTAATTACTGGGGTCTTCATCGGAAGAAGTTTGAACATTATTTCTCAGCCAAAATGCTAAAAAGTGAAAGTGGTTGGTGCAGTCATTGATGTTTAGGCTATTGCTCTCTGGGTGGGTACAAGCAAAAGAATGAGCTGTTCCAAGTATTTGCAATAAAATTGATGGAAGATCCGCCCTTCCGCGAGCGGGGTAAAATTTGCCCATTGGACTAAGTTGAGAAACTACAGGAAACAAACAAAACTGAGTGGCGCCTTTATCATTAATATATAGCGCCGCTGCGCTGATGGGGTAAATTTGTTCTCCGTGTACCCACAATGCATTTCGAACGGATGTTCCACTATATTAGGAAGCTGCTCTATCTTCTGCTATTTGTTATCTTTGGTACAAGCTCTATACAAATTGCCAATTATTATTATTAATTAAAAAAGTCATGGTCAAAAAAAGTTGTTGATTTTACCTGTTCTTTCCCTTTTTAGCCTGTTGGTGATGCTGGTGCCAATAAAAGATGCAAAACAGATGAGACAACTGAAATAGATGTTGGGCAGATGGCAAAAGAAGGCAAGGTAGGTGTAGCTAAGCATGTATCAATTTCATTTTGGATGGAAAAGATAATTGCTATTTTCCTTTTGTTGATTAGAGGTAACCCATGCACTCACTGAGTCATTCCCAATGAGTGCTAGACGACGCGACACAGCCTGCTGTTAATAGTAGCAGGCTAAACGGATCGTCATTAAAATGTACCATTGCGTGCTCGTCGTGGTGTTGCGTTGTCCATAGAATTGTGTAGCGAGTGTCCAACTTAATTCCAGGGGCAGATTGCTGCACATTGTCAGTAGATAATCTGTATGTTCAGCTGCCTGTAAAACTTACTGTAGATACTCGTCTATACATTGCTATACGGCAGCCTAGTAAGGAGACGGCTATAAAGAACCTCTCTAGCGTATCAAACTTAAAAAACTGACCAATCAGAACAAGGCCATGAACTTGTGCTTGTCCCTCAAACAAATGTGTTTAAGAATGTTTATACCTTAAGATCATAGAAACAATATCAAAGTGTTGAGGTTTAGCAAAAAAGTCATTTAGTCGAAAACTTTTTTGACCTGCAAATATAAATTAAAAACCCAATTTTTATGGCCTGATGCCAATGATCTGTAAAAGCAATATCAAAATTGAGCATTAAATTGTACAAACGTAGTACATATGAAGGTTTGTACAAGCATGCTGGAAACGATAGATTTTGACTGTAAAATATCCATGTTTGCTTACCCTCAGTGTTGAATCAAAAATTGGGTTTTGGTTATCCATGTGACTTTTCTTCTTATACAAAATCAAAAAAAAATATAGAGAACAAAATTCTATTTCTGGACTTGAAACCGATTTCCAAATACACAACCTACGTAATATAATACTTATCTCTCAAAAAAGCTCTGCCTAGAAAAATTATTTTCTATTATAAATATTCAGTGTGCATGACACAAAATTTAATGCACACAAATTGTTGCTATAGTTAATCACATAAGACTGGCTAATTACATTTTAAGAATATTTTATAGCAATCTGCTTCAGTTGTTGAATTTACAATGATAGTGTTATTCTGTATCACATTTTATTTGGAGATGCAGCTTAGCCCAGTCTGTTAAACCGGTGGTTGTCACTGTGTGTGCGCTAAACCGTGGAGATCTCTAGGTCACCGGTTCATTCCCATTGCTGCTCTCCTTGTGTTTCAGCTGAAGGGCTAAATGCCAAGTTCCTATAGCGCACCACCTTTAGGGTGAGACATTAAAGCCATTCGTCCTGTGTGCATTATGGCCTGTGTGCACATTAAAGAACGCAGTACACTTTTTGGGAAAAGAGTAGGGGATTGTCTCCTGATGTACTGCCAAATCACTACCAGGAGGACTCTACTGGAAATAAGTCTTCTTCAGATTTTCGTGGGTTATCCTTGACGTTTACACTGAATAAATCCATCCATTCATCCATCCATTTTATCTAATGCCCTGTCCATGCTATTAAATTTTATTTGCCAAAATCATGTGGCATGCCTTAATATAGTGTTGGTGATATCACATCATGACCATATATGGGCACATCATGACTATATATTTGGCAAAGACAAGCCAAACCAGTCACTCGTCGCAAATCCTGTTTCAGAGATAATGGCCAAAACATACTGGAATGTCAACATTTTTTTAATCTATTTTATTACAATAAACTACCCTTTATGTATATAGCATGCTATGCTGTTATTTTCCCAATTTTCAATATAAAAACAAAGATTTTTAACGATTTGGTATTGTTTTTTGCCTGAAAATGCCTGACATCATGAACTTTAAAAGCTGATTTCTCAAATATTTTTCTTTAAACAGTCGTATGATTAAACTCCTGTAACTTCATAACGCAATGTCAGATTTAAATGATTCTTTTACCATTTTATAGCTCTTATTTTACTGTTCCACCTTGTACTAATAACTAAAATTTTTGCGCCCGGTGACTGGTTTGGCTTGTGTTTGCCACATATTGGCATACAGAGCTTAAAACATATTAAACATCATTGTTCAAATTTCCAATAACGAGTGTTGTTCAATAATTCAAAAAGTATTTGTACAATAAAATAAGTATTTCTTTTTTTTTAGCTGGCGAAGTTGACTGTCGCTGACCTCAGGTCATTCTGCCAAGCCAAAAAATTGCAGACATCTGGAAAGAAAAGTGAACTTGTTGAGAGAGTAAAAAAATTTTGTGGCGAATAAGTTATCTAGATTGCTAAGTATTACCGCCAACTCGCCAAAGAATGTAAAGTTGCTAACAACTGTTTCTAATACTATTTTTAACTGATGCATTAATCTTTAAGGAAAGTTCTGTAAAAATCCACCTACTCATTTATTGTTGATAGTAATTTTATGAAAATTCCAACGAAAAAGTTGCCAATTAAATGGAGAAGTACTAAATTTAATGGCTATGTTATTTGGCATTCATATCAGGTAAAACTCTTATTTTATTTGCTTGATGTTAAGTTTCAAAGAACTCATTAATAAATATGAGTTGTTTATGGAAAAAATACCAAAATGAAGAGATGGTCCAACTCACACTTTATAGGAAAATGAGCATTTAAGTTGAGTAATGTGATTTTAGACCCAATTTGCAATGATCAGTTTCTCCACTAATGAGAAAGTCTCACCAATAAGGTTAGAATTAACCATAATTTTTTTCTTTAACTCTGAAATGCCTCTTTTGGAATGTGTCTACCAAAGTAGAAAATGGTCCATTTGTAGTGGATAATTTAAGTTTTTGTTTTTTATTTCTATACATCATCATATTAGTATGTGTGAAAATTTATGTTCCTGCTATCGTGGTGCATGTGTTCCACAATAATGTTTTATTGAAGAGGAAACAAGACGTTTCATCAAAAGATTATCTGGACACTGTAAAATTATTATTATATTTTACTGAATAGACCTACTACTAGCTATAATATTTCTGCATTTTAATGCTTACTCATTATAACGTTAGATGAGATTTTGTATATATATTAGTGAACCATTTTTAGATATAATATAAAGTGCTTTAAAATTTCCAGCAATTGTGGAAGTGCTTTTACTGTATGGCGTTAAAGCATATACTTTGTGTTTCTTCATGGCAAATAACTAAATAGAACACACAGTATATTTGATACAAGTATAGATTTATTATGATTTTTGACAATGAGGAAAGGAAATGTTTTCACTAAAGATTTTGAATAAACATTCTATTAAACTGTTTCTAGGCAAATTTGGTTGGTGTTTTTTTCTTAATTCAAATAGTTCTTTAAACGATATCTTCAGTGTCATTTTGATTTTGTTGTCTGTCAGAGTAAACTGAGATACTCCCACGTGTTAACGGACCAAGATTTCGAGATTGGTTTACCAGTTGTGGTGCTATCTTGTTGTTTCGAAAACGACTGGTATTTAGGGTACTCTCAACAACATCATCATCATCTTCCTTCATAGCAGATGTTTTTGATCTTTCTCGAAGACTGTGCTGCATACAATATTCATTAGCTCCATTCTTTATAGATAAACGTGATGAGTGTACATCTGCAAAAGATGATACAGCCTCCAGCTCAGTTGCAACAATATCATTATTTAGAACCACTAGTAGTTTTGCCTCCGGTTCTTGAGTGCGATCAAATTGTAATCGGTGAACATTCCGGTGAATGACGCATGGAGCAAACAGTTCATCACGTGTGTGGGCATTAATAGCAGATCCCTGGATTAAGATGACATCATCCATATTGTCTTCAATGTCTAGAATATAGTTGCACTCTCTCAGGTCAATCAAACGGGACTTTTCAAGATGAAGCTTTACCTTTTCTTGAGTCCATCCCTAAATATAAGACAACATGAGTTTGCTGTTATGTAGGGTAAGACGAACAAAGTACAGTATAATATAAGTTGGGGGGCAGATCCAGAGATGTCAGAAAGAAGGCCGATCGAGAGACAACACTCTACCCTAAGGGGTCTGGAAAATTTTTGATTTTTAGATGTCTGAAAATAACTGATTCGATTTGTGTAATTATTAATTTCTTATTTCTTTTTTTTTGCCCTTTTTTTTTTTACTTTCCAAAATAAAAAAAAAAAAAAAAAAAAAAAAAACCCTCCCGTGCAAGTACAGTCTAAGATCAATCAGGACTGCTAGATCGATGCAAATACTTAAATAAGTTAAATTTACCTGATATGCAGTTTGTTCTAATAGAAGTTGTGTTGCAATCCGGATACCACATACGCGCCATAAACGGCCTTCAAGAGAAGGCTCCAATGTAAAGGTTTCAATAGCGGTGTGCATGTCATCTAAGTTGATATAATACACCTTTTCGGGTAGAAAAAAAAATATATATATATATATATATTGAAACCCATAATATTTTACTCACTAAAGTACAATGGTAGCTCTACACACTTGGTAATTTTATGGAGAATCCAAAGTGTTTTGGCAGTCGGCCATCTCTTAACCCGCCATAGATTTGATTACAATGCATTATAAATATTATGTAGAACTACATCTTGTGAACGGAAAACAGTTTCATGTTTTTTTTTAATGATTTTATTGTCAATTACTTTCTGTGTAACAATACAGATTTATTTCGCTTAGCCTTACCAGAACAGACGTTTCACAGGTAACTGTTGCGTTTCTCGGCTTACCAGTCAAAAGCCCCATTTCACCAATTACATTACCAGCCGTTAGGTAATCCTCAAATACCTCGTGCGACCCTCTATGAGTGGATGACAGTGTCTGCTGATTTTCGTTGTCCAGGTCTTCAGATGAACCTAACAACTAAAGTTATATGAAAAGTACTGTTTGTATATAGCTGCACATTCGTTTGGTGAAAAAAAAAAAGAATATTGCACTACCTTAAGCTATGGTATTATAAGCGAGAACATCTATTTATCAGCACATTATTAATTGGATTTGTTATAATGCATAATACAGAGGTCTTAACGAATCTTAGACTCAACCGTTTTACAGGAGCATTTTCGGCGACTTGAGACTGTTCCGAAATGTTTGTTCGTAAAAACCACCTGAAAAACTTAGTTTAGGGCATGTTTCTTGTTTAGATATCAGAACCAAACCTGGCAAGTTGGCAGTGTCTGCGATTTCTGTCGTACAGCTTGGTAGAGGTAATTAGACCTAAACTAAACATAGTCTGCTGGTGAAGAAAAGTCAACAAGTGATAAACCCACCTTGACCATTCCAGACACAATTAGATAAATTCCGTTCGGTTTCTCGCCTTGTTTGATAATCACTTCATGAAAGTCGTAGTGTAGTAGTTCAGCTCTTGCCTATGGAATATCGTCATAAGAATGCTTAAAATGTACGTTATAAACTTGACAAATTAGGGGATAAAAATTTTCTAGTACAGTAATGCATTATGTTAATGTCATGGTGACGTTGGTTAAAATGACGATGATGACGGGTACGATATCGACGTGATGATTGTAATGATGGATGATAATGAGCATTCATTATATTATATTCATTATACGTCATAAGCTTTATATTATATTGCGTTTTAAACATTATACAGGCACATGACTATATATTGGGCATAAAACAGTTTTTTTTTTTTTGTTTTTTTTTTGTCAAAGAAAAGCTGATAATCTGGACAGAGCTTTATATATGTTAACAAAATTTACCTTAATGAACTCAATAAGTTTAGTATCTCCTTCTAACCAGGCAACATTTCGAAGCAAGAACTCAGGGGGTGGAGGTGGAATTGAAGCTGGAGCATTCAACAAACGCTTCATTCTGATTTCTACATGCTGTATGTTTTAAAGGCAAATGTTAAACAAGTATTAGAAGTAGAAATAGCAGCGGCGGCAGCAGAAGCAGCGACGGCGGCAGCAGCAACGGCGGCGACAGCAGCAGCAGAAGCAGCGACGGCGGCAGCGGCGGCGACCATGCTGTATGTATTAAAGGCAAATGTTAAACAAGTATTAGAAGTAGAAATAGCAGCGGCGGCAGCAGAAGCAGCGACGGCGGCAGCAGCAGCGGCGGCGACAGCAGAAGTAGCGACGGCGGCAGCAGCAGCGGCGGCGACCAGCAGCAGCACAGCGACGACAGCAGCAGCAGCAATGAAGCAAAAGTAGGTGCTAGTTGACTTAAGTTTAATATTGTTTATGTCTACTTTAAAATGTGCATACGTACAGTACCTATTTTTACATGATTACATTACATAAGATTTGTTAATCGTGCGGATACGCATCCTTATGGCTAAAACACGACATGGCGTCGGCAACGCAGGGTGGCGCACGTTCAATAACTGGTATTACTTTCGTTAAAATGTGACCGTCACAAAATATTTGATTTTCTTACCATTTGTAACTTATGTGCATCAGTTTCATCTAAAAGGCCGGCACCTTGTAACTCACAAATCGTGTCACGTGAATGATTTAACACAGTGCGAATCGCTTGACGAGTTTTAACTGAAATTGCAATGCCTGGATGTTCTCGTTGCAAAAGACCTGGTTAAAAAAAAATATTATGATGTCGATCTTTTTCTGTTAATATCTTTGTGTAACAAATTCCTGTGATGTGCCCGGGATTTCACGCTTGTTCGTGTTGTCCCACAACAGGGACGCGGCTCCCCACCACCCCCTTTGTACATAGTGTTAAAATTTAAAGCTTATTCTTGAGCCCATACAAATTCTTCCCTGGAATCACTCAAAATGAATACTTCTAAAACATGTAAATATGCATTAGTACACGTTATACATAGGCCTAATAGAACACATAGGCCTAGGCGTGATTTAAAAAATCTTAAATCCATAAATCTCAGGCCAGGTCTTTTATGATAGAAATGCGATACTGTGGTTCAATTTCGTTTTATTCTTTTCCAAGTTTCTTTACATTTTTGTTTAATAATACTACTACTACTAATAGTAATAATAATAATAAGAACAATGATGATGATGATGATGATGACGATAGTAATAATTGATAATAATATTAATAGCAATAAAAAGTGAAGAAAATTGTGCTAAATGCGAAAAAAAGTTGTGATTTGTTGATCATAATATAGTATACTGCCCCACCATGACAAAAGGAAGTTACTGACAATTGTTCAACGAGTTTTTTAGCCACTATTAAAGAACTAATAATTTGGAACATACAGTATTGATACATTTGAGTATACTCAAATCCCACTAATTAACAAGTAATTAGCAACACAAAAAGGAAGTAAGAGACTAAAAAATACAGTAAAAACCACCAGAAAAGGAAGCAGGGGACAAAATCAACATGCCTCATATTCCTTAATTACTCAAAGCAATGCAAACATCAGTTGCTTCTTTTTGCCATGGTGGGGCAGTATAGTTAAAGCTTAGTAAGCTATAGTTAGGCCTAAGTTGTCCTGGATATTAAGTAGATCCCTGATAAAAGATTATGAGAAATTTGTTGGCGTTTCATTTTCACTATAATGGTGATGTGATGATGATGAATTTTACTATATAAAAGTGTCATTTCCGGCCATCTCGAGAGGTACTATTTCCTCAAAATCTCTCACCTTATCCCCAGCCATGGTGGGGCTGAGGTGGTTGTGAAATCACGTTTTTGAAGTAGGCCTATGTAAAGTGATACCCAAAGACATTGTTTTTAAGCTTTGTTTCCTGTGGTATATCACACACACATTAATAAGATCTCTATGGTTGTCAAAAATCCCTGATAAAAGATCATGAGAATATTTTTGGCGCTTCATTTTGACTAATGGTGATGTGATGATGATGAATTTCACTAAAAGTGTCATTTCTGGCCATCTAGAGGTACTATTTCCTCAAATTTTCTCACCTAGCTCAGCTCCAACCATGGTGGGGCTGAGGTGGTTGTCGACTCACAAAATGCCCTCCCCCTCCACCTTTCAAAACAAATCTGTGCCCTTCCCTGGGTATGGCATTAAACTCCATCGAGTCGGCTCCTAATGTGTGTCTTAGTGACTGCTGTTTGCTTTTAGGATGTGATCTGGTTTTTATGTCCATTTTTCGTGATTATGATTATTCTGGATAAATAATGTTTTTAACAGAGCCCCCCCCCCCCCACTTCATTTTTTAAGGGAAAAAAAAAGAAAAATATATTCAAATTGAAGTGGGAGAGTGTACAAACGCACGGTCTGTGTAATTTTACGTTGTCGTTTTGGAAAACCTTAGCAACAATATTTAAGGGGAGGAGCTTTGCCATATCACGGACATTCGGTGTCACAGAAAATTTGACAGTTTGTAATTATTTACTGATGGTCACTTAATTATTAAAGCCGGGCACTCATTGCTCTCCACGGTCTTCGGTCGACGCGAATTTACAGAGAACGCAACGCTATTACGCGCGCGTGACGGATTGATTTTAATGACGATCCATTCGGACTGCTGCATCCACCGACAATTAGCAGACGCGTCGCGCTGTCTAGCGCCTGTCTCTTATACACATCTAGATGTGTATAAGAGACAGTGATTACATTACATAAGATTTGTTAATCGTGCGGATACGCATCCTTATGGCTAAAACACGACATGGCGTCGGCAACGCAGGGTGGCGCACGTTCAATAACTGGTATTACTTTCGTTAAAATGTGACCTTCACAAAATATTTGATTTTCTTACCATTTGTAACTTATGTGCATCAGTTTCATCTAAAAGGCCGGCACCTTGTAACTCACAAATCGTGTCACGTGAATGATTTAACACAGTGCGAATCGCTTGACGAGTTTTAACTGAAATTGCAATGCCTGGATGTTCTCGTTGCAAAAGACCTGGTTAAAAAAAAATATTATGATGTCGATCTTTTTCTGTTAATATCTTTGTGTAACAAATTCCTGTGATGTGCCCGGGATTTCACGCTTGTTCGTGTTGTCCCACAACAGGGACGCGGCTCCCCACCACCCCCTTTGTACATAGTGTTAAAATTTAAAGCTTATTCTTGAGCCCATACAAATTCTTCCATGGGATCACTCAAAATGAATACTTCTAAAACATGTAAATATGCATTAGTACACGTTATACATAGGACTAATAGAACACATAAGCCTAAGCGTGATTTAAAAAAATCTTAAATCCATAAACCTCAGGCCAGGTCTTTTAAGATAGAAATGCGATACTGTGGTTCAATTTCATTTTTATCCTTTTGCAAGTTTTCTTTAAATGTTTGTTTAATACTACTACTAATAGTAACAATAATAATAATAATAATAATAACAATGATGATAATGACGATAATAATAATTGATAATAATATTAATAGCAATAAAAAGTGAAGAAAATTGTGCTAAATTCGAAAAAAAAAGTTGTGATTTGTTGATCATACTATAATACCGTATATATAGTTAAAGCTTAGTAAGCTATAATTAGGCCTACGTTGTCCTGGATATTAAGTAGATTCCTGATAAAAAAGATTATGAGAAATTTGTTGGCGTTTCATTTTGACTATAATGGTAATGTGATGATGATGAATTTTACTA